TTTTCGTTGATGGTGTTTTTTTGTTTATATATATTTTTTTAGTTATTTATTAATTTGCAACAGTGCTAATTATTTAAATTGTCTATTATTAATAATAATATTTTATTTTTATTATAATATATGATTGTATCAGATATTATAGTTCTTCATATATATATTTCCAAGTATATATATGAATATATGTATGTATATATTTTTGTTTTAAATATAGTAAAAAGTAATTTTTATAATTACAATTAAATAACATTGACATTTTATAAATGTTAAATATTTTCTTTTTGTTTTTAACTTTTTTCATCAATTGAAACTACAACAAATAAATCAATGTCTTTAAATTATAAATTACAAAAAAAGATAATTAATATGTTACATACAAATAATATATGAGGAATAAAAGTAAAAAAAAACTAAATAAAATATAAAGAAAAATGTCAAAAAATGTTGTTTTTTATATAAAACATGATGTTTCCTTGCCGTTTAATTTAAAATTTATATGTATATAATATATTTTTGTTATATATAATTATATATTATTTACATCAAACATACAGATAAGAAGGTACTTTTGTTATAAAGGATATTATTCGGTTTACAGTTTTTTCTGATTTTTTTCTTTACAAATATTTTTTTATTTTTTCATGTTTGTTATATATGTCTGTGTGATTGCGTTTTGTGTTTCAACGAAAAGAAATATATATTTGAAAATGATTACAAATAAAATAATATATAATAAATGTTATTCGTTTATGTTGTTCTTGTTAAGTGAATTTTGACCAAAGACCTGGGATTGAATATAAATAATTTTGCCCAAGAGAAAGAAAAAAATAAATGGTTTTATGTAGAAATTGTGAAAAATCATGAAATTTCAAACGTTAATTGATATTTCTTTGGTACGGAACTAAACTATTAAAAAATTGTCTATAAAATAAAACAAAATTATAAAAATATTTAATAAAACCTATGTAAAGAAAATTGTGTATACATTTCAACACAATCCCTAGAGGAAAGTTAAGACAATGAGAATTAGGAAAAAACTGTGCTTTTCAATTAAGGTTTATTTGAATATGGGCTGTTATTGGATATAATTTTAAATTTTTGAGAAATCTGACAAGTTTCAAACCATCTGATATAAAGATCGGTAAATGTGGTTGCAATCATGATATCTAAAATCGTAACTATTTTTTCAGCCTTATTGTTTAAATTAAAAAAGGAAACAAGTGTCAGTCGGAGTTGCTAGCTGATACATATCCTCAGCCTATGACAATACACGTATGTATTTGGGTTTGCACTGAACAATGTCGAAGTGGACCTACTCTTTATTTCCTCAATTATAAGGTGGAGTTTATATTCAATTTGTCATTCCGTTTGCAATACCTCGAAAGATTCTTTTGAGATCTGATAGAGTATATAAATTCCCGATCAGAATAATATGCAATGCCGATTTAGCCATGTCCGTCTGTCTGTTGAAATCACGATAGAGATCGTAATATTTAAGATATAGATTTGAAAATTTGTACTCACATTGATATTGCTCGTAGAATGTTTGATATTAAAAATGGGATATATCGGTCCACGTTTTGGTATAGTTCCCATATAGCGGTACCATAAAATTTTCGGTATTAGGTATTAGACACATTTTCTAACCATATATTGATATATCTCCCATATGAAGGTTCCGCTCAATTTTCGATATTTTAAGGCTTATAGGCGCATTTCATAGCGAAGAGAATATAATTTTGCATTTCGGGATTTTGGAGGCTGACATATATATATATATACGTAGAAAATTTTCAATATAGGCCCATGATGTGACATAGCCCCATATAAGGTACACATTAATTTTCGGTATTTTGAGGTTTAGACGGATTATCCAACCAAAAGTGCTGTAATTTGACAATAAGGGGCATTTTATGTGGCAAACATCTGTCAGGAAAATGATAATTATAGGACCATACTATAACATAGAACCCATATAAGGGTTCCGCTCAATTCTGAATTCTTCAAACCAAAAGGCTCTAATTTGGTATACCCGGTTTTTGGAGGCTGGCAAACATATATTTAGAAAATTATGATTATAGGTCAATGTTTTGATATAGCCTTCATATAAAGGTCGCCGTCATCTTTAGGCATTTTGAGGGTTTAAGCCTCATTTTCCAATCCAAAATGATCTAATTTCGCATTTCGGGATTTTGGAGGCTGCTTACATCTATACATAAAATTACTACTAAAGGTTAATGTTTCAACAAAGTCCCCATATAAAGTCCAACTCAAATGTTCGGCATGTAGTGGTTGTAGAGGCTGGTATCTGCGCAGAAAAACATCCATAAGGTCCGTGTCTTGACATAGCCCTCATATAAAGTTCCCGGTCATTTTGCGGTATTTTGAGGATATAAGTCCCAACCGAAAGGACTGCGCTTTGGCATTCCGAAGAGTTGACCACATTTGGGAAGGAAACAGAAGAAGATGTCCTATGGACCCCCACATTCAGATTTATTATAGGTTTGTTATAAATATTCCAATGTACATCAGAAGGAGTGGTCCTATTGGTTCCATCTTCATAATTGATATAGTTTTGACTCAAAAATATTACAATCAAAGCGGCCACGCTTATCACTGAATATTGGATTTAATGTTGACACTTTGTGCGCACCGATTAGCCACATTTTCAGGTATTGTGCACTGTTTTGTTTGAATCGAAAACTCCCTTCGCATGTTGTTATATTTTTTCAACAATATTTTGATCATTTTGTTTGGGAGGTACCAGAAGATGTGGATCTATAGTCTCCATCTCAGAACTTGTGATAGGAATAATACGATGCCAAAGTTTAGATCCAATCGGTTACACCCAACGAGAGTAAAAGTGCGCTCCAGTCAGCAACACGGACATTTCTAAATCGAATCCGAATTGTTTGAAATGAGTCAATAATAAAATGGGAACTGATACTGTCATACGATGACGAACTTAACCATGAATTGAGAACCGAGATTTGCAAAAGTGGGCTATAAGAACTCATATAAGTCCTCTATAAAGAAGCCTATTAAGAATCCCAAGTTTACTGAAAACATATCCCCAAAATCATGAGTTTGCGCAAAGAACACCGCTGTATATCGAGCGCAGAGTGAAGATGTTCTGAATATATCTTCACTCTGTGCTCGATATACTGCAGTGTTCTTTGCGCAAACACATGATTTTGGGTATATGTTTTCAGTACACATGGAATTCTTCATAGATTTTTACATACAAAATGGGGCTTCCAAATACAGAGGTAGATTTTTTATAGGTCTTCTGTACATAGAATGTGTCACGTATGTCTTCTGTATCTAGTCAAGTGACAAAGTGCGATCAACTACTGGCCTCGTTATTATACAGCTCATAAATGTATCCATATATATTTGAAGTCAGTCTGCAAAATCCATACCATTTATTCAAGGACTAAAAATATATTTTTAAAATCGTTGGATGTGAAATAGTCCCCATTTGGCACCATTTTCAAAAAACTTTTAAAATTATATATCAATTTGTAATCTTGACACATTTCCTCCACTGGATTAAGAGAACTTTTTTCTATCCTCGGACAATTTATTTGCTATAATCACCGACTATATCTCAATTTTATTGCGGATCCGGTGTTGGTGGTAAAATATTAAGGTTAGAATGATTTTAAATATTCAAGTGGGTTTTGATATTCTTCATCTATATTTTCACATTTCAAAGCACAGTTTTTTTCCGAAAAAATAATAATTCTAAATATTGATATAATTTTTAAAAATAGTTACATTTAAAATGAATAGAATTTAAAATAATTAAAAATTATTAATATATAATAGTATATATGATATCAGTTATTTGAAATATATATATTTTTTAAAAATTAAAGAATATAGTCTTTTTTGTAGTTTTTATTGTTGTTTTTGGTTTAAAAACTATAACTTTACTAAATCGTTTTTTATATTTAATTTTCATCTAAAGCTCTAAACACTGAGTGTTTCATTAAAATTTCACATCAACTATAAAACTTATGAAAAATAAACACAATATCCAAAAAGAAATAAAGAATAATATATTATAGCTGCCAAGTTGTTTTTCTTCACTTATAAGATCAAAACTTATTAATATTATTAGTTATCAAACATGATTTCACATTTTTTTTTACTTTCATTCATTCACAAAAAAGGTACTAAAGTCACGCGTATTTTTTTACTTTACTTTTAACTATGAGAGGGACAAAGAAGACATTGTTGTTTTTTGTTGTTATTGTTATTAATAAAAATTATGAAAAAAATCTTTGTTAAAAAACACAGTTGATACTTTCTTTGCCTTCGTCTTAAAGAAAACATGTATCACTTTTAAAGCTTTTACGTGTTGTTCTTGTTGTTATTGGTATTGATTTTTTGTGTATTACATAAAAACTAATTTCTATTGTTATTGTTGTTGGTTTTTTTTTGTTTTTCATATTAAAACTAATTGCAACAAGGGTCTTTGAGAGCTTATTTTCTTATGTATTGTTTTTTTTTTTTGTAATTTGCTACCAATTATTCTTTTGTATAGTAGAGAGCTTGCCTCTTTTGTTTTTGTTTTTAATTTTTTTTTTATAAAAAGGAACTTTTTAGAAAAAATCCTTTCCTTTCTTTTCAATTGGGGCTCTATTTTGTCTAAGTATATTTTTTTAAATGGGAATTTCATTTAATATGGGAATTGTGGTGGTGTTGGTTTTGGTTTTAACAAAATTCATGCCTACATTTATCAATTAATTGTTTAACAAAACAAAAACAAACAAAACTATTTATTTAGTTATTTTTTTTCTAATAATCTAATATATCTTGAGGGAACTTTGTTGTTGTTGTATTATTTTTTTTTTGTTATGATTTTTCTAAGTTTTTTCTGTTTCTTAATTTTTTCTTGGCGTTAACTATGTTAGATTGCCTTAATGTCTAATATTTTGGTTTTCTTATGAATTGCCTAGTCATTCGTTTCCTTCGCCGTCGCCGTCGTCTTTTTCAACGCTATGACGAAACATTGTCCTCCGAACCTTCCATCTCCTCTGGTGGATTTTTCTTAACACAATCACGCACCCCCTGTAGGATAATGCCAACACGTCGATCCAAGGCAGCCAAATGGGGTTCCCAAAGGATGGGACTCACCGGATCGACGAGCATCGATTCACGCATTACTTCGGAGAGGGGTCGGGGACCATTGTGAAATCTGTAAAGAAAAGAGAAGAATAGAAATTTAGAAATTATGAGAATAAAGTGAAATTAAATAAAGCAGAAAATATGACTAGATCGATTCAGACTCAGATTTATATAGTGATTTCAACAGGCAGACGGATATGGCAAAATCGAAAGAAAAAATATTCTGAAGAACAATTATATATTCTTTTTTGGGTCTTCGACGTATCTTTTGAGGTGTAGCCAACATAATGGCAACTTTTTTCGCAGCTCGCCTTATGGTGTAGGGTGAAAACATAGTCGATATTGCACATATCTGTAAACGTTTACATATTACAAATTTTCCATTATAAGATATAATTTTATATATGTATGTGTGTGTACTAAAATTTGAGAATTCCCTCTAAACATTTTATAAAAATCGGTTAAGTATTTGCAGAGTTATTAGCATTTGAAGTGAAAGATCTTCCAAAATATACCTACTGTTCGCTGCTGGGCGCCTATTACCGGAAAATGAAAATCTCTCAAAAAAACTGGTTTTTGAAAACAGACTATTTTGTTCAAAATGCCCATTTTTACAAATCCGAGTTTTGTGAGGTTTTTCATTTTTAGGTAATAGGAGCCCAGCAGTGAACAGTAGGCATATTTTGAAAAATTTTTGACTTCAAATGCTTATAACTCAATAAATACTTAACCGATTTTGATGATTTTTGTACAAATGGTTAGACAAAATTCTGAGTTTTATTACACACTGACATATTTATATAAAAATGATATAATATAATAATAAAAAAATCGTACAATGTAAAAGTTTACGGATATGTTACAATATCGGATATTTTCTGTCAGCAAAGTCGAAAGATAGTCGAAAGATGCTCCACCTTACGCAAATGACAGATCAAGTGAAAAGTCCACGACCAGACACATAACTGACGGTTTTTTTTTTTAATTTTTACCAAAAACCTAAAACTAATTTGCTGCCTTTTTTGGTGGGAAAATGCAGTTAAAACCTTCAAAATACCGAAAGTATGGCGGGATCTTTATATGGAAATGTGTCCGCTACCAAAAACTCGAAGTAGCGAATTACAGCCCCTTTGGTAGACAATTTCGACTAAAAGCGTAAACGGAGCAGGGCAGAACCTACATATAGGGATTATCCGAAAACATTGACATTTATTGATAATTTTCTGGGCAGCCACGAAATATCATTTTCGGTTGGTAAACGCAGCCATACGCCTCGAATACTGGGATTTACCTTAGGGATAATATTCTGCGCAGATATATCCCAGACTCCAAAATCCTGAAATACCAAATTAGAGACTCCTTGATTGGAAATTCGACTGCAAGCCGAAAATTGGTCAATGCCGTTATATGGGAGCTATACCAAAATGTGGATCGATATAACCCGTTTCACTACAAAAATCCTAAGTATGATAAATCTACAATATGATATAATTTATGGAGTTCATTACGAATCTATCGAGCTGTGGCAAACAGAATAACAATTTAATATACGCTCCGTATGGTGGAGGGTTAAAAATAACCGATATTGAACATATTCGTAAACTTTTAAATAATATGAATTATCTCTTATATAACATACTTTAATATATGCTTGCCCGTGTATACTAAAACTTCAGAATTTCCTCCAAACATCTCTGCAAATTTTATAAAAATCGGTTGAATATGTACTGTGTTATTAGGATTTGAAATCAAAGATCTTCCAAAATATACCTACTGTTCCCTGCTGGGCGCCTATTACCGGAAAATGAAAATCTCGCAAAAATCGGGTTTTTGACAACGGACATTTTTTTTTGAAAATACCCATTTGTACGAAACCGATCTTTGTGTGGTTTTTAATTTTTAGGTAACAGGCGCCCAGCACTGAACAGTAAGTATATTTCGGAGCATCATTAAATCCAAATGCTGATAACTCAGCAAATACTTATCCGATTTTTATGATTCTTTCAGCAATGTTTAGAGGGAATTCTTAAGTTTTAATACACATTGGCTCTACATATATAAAATGATGTTATATAAGAGAAAATTGGTAGTATGTCAATGTTTACGGTTATGTATTGTGCTATTTGTATACCCACCAATATAAGGTGGGGTGTATATTAAATTTGACATTCCGTTGGCAACACTTCGAACGATTCGTCGGATACGCCATAAAGCGCATATACAGTGGCTCCATCGAATAATCGGACAAGTGGTTGTCAGATATAATAATGCTATACATTTCAAAGAAATTGTCTAAATGTGTAGTTTTTTTCACTTTTATTTACACATTACTTACTTTTATTTCTGAACAATACAAAAAACAACAACTTTCCTAGTGATAACAGTAAATTTCGCCAGAAAAACAAAATTAACTCAATTTATTGTGTTCAACGCAAAATCGGACAAAGCAAAATATCAATGTTAAAAAATGCAAAAAATCGAGAAATTAATATTTAGTTGCATATCCTTTGTTGTCCAGAACGGCCTGTAAACGCTTCGGTATTGATTTGACCAAATTCTGGCATACCTCCTGCTCTATGGAGTTCCACGATTTCAGTAAAGCCCTCCTTAAGCTGTACTAAGGAGTTAAATTTTTTCTCATACACTCTCCTAGTTAATTCTTCCCAAATATGCTCAATTACGTTAAGGTCTGGGCTCTGTGCAGGTGTTTGTATAAGTTTGGGGCAGTTATGGATCAACCAAAGCTTTGCAACACCTGATGTGTGCTTGGGATCGTTGTCTTGATAAAAGGCAAAGTTGTTCGCGATACCCAATTTGTCTGCAATTTGCTTTACATTTTGTTTTAAAATTTTCAGGTAGACAAATTTGTCCATTTTACCATCAATAAAATGCAAATTGCCTAATCCCGCACTCGACATGCAGCCCCAAACCATAACAGAACCTCCTCCATGATTAACAGTGGCTTTTGTATTCTTATGATTAAATTCAGCATTTGGCTTACGCCACAAATACATCTTTCCATCTGATCCGTGCAAATTAAATTTGCTTTCGTCAGTAAACAGAACCTTAATATAATGAAAACTACCAATATAAAAAAAATATATGTTTAACTCTTTTTTAATGTTCAGAATACATTTATATTAGAAAAACTTTTGTCCGATTATGCGATGGAGCCACTGTATATGCTCTTTATAAGAATATAATTGTATTTCGATTTATCCATGTCCGGTCTTGTCCGTTGGAATCACGATAGAGATCGCAATATTTATTTCATTTTCCAAAAGAAAGGGCTGTAATTATGCATTCTTGGGTTTTGAAGGCTGGCATACATCTGCGTAGAAACCGATTATTATATGTCCATTTTTTTGGCACAGCCCCACATGGAATTCACGCCCTACGAAGTATTTTTAGGGTACATTTACCAATAGAAAATAATTTGGTATTTCGTGGTTTTGTAGGCTTGTACGACTGCGCAGAAAATGCTCATTATACGTTAAGGTTTTGCCCCATATACATTTCCCGTTTTATTTTCGGTTTTCGCCGCATCTTCCCACCAACAAAATGAAAATTCTATCATCCCAGGTTTTTAGGTAAAAATAAATAGCGTCAGTTATGTGCCAGCTCGTGGACTTTTCAAATGATCTGTTATTAGTGTAGGGTAGCGCATGCTTCGCCCCTTTCGACCAAACAGCTTTGCTGACATATAATAGAAAAATATCCGATATTATAAAATATCTAAAAACTTTTACATAATACGAATTTTCTTTTATAGTACTACATTTTATATATCTGTTGCCAGTGTATACTAAAACTTCAGAATTTCCTCTAAACATTTCAGTTAAAAACATAAAAATCGATTAAGTATTTGCTGAGATATTAGCATTTGAATTCAACAATGCTCCGAAGTATACTTACTGTTCTGTGCTGGGCGCCTATTACCAAAAAATGAAAAACCACACAAAAATCAGTTTTGTAAAAAGAGGGCATTTAACAAAAAAATTGTTAGTTGTCAAAAAACCCGATTTTTGAGAGATTTGTATTTTCTGGTAATAGGCGCACAGGACCGAATAGCAAGTAAATTTGTGAATATGGTTGGTTTCAAATGCTAATAACTCAGCAAAAACATGACAGATTTTTATGATTTTTGCAACAATGTTTAGAGGAAATTATGAAGTTTTATTTCACACTGACATAGATATATAAAATGATGTTCTATACGAGAAAATTCGTAATATGTAAATATTTACGGATATGCACAATATCGACTATTTTTTTATTATATGCCTACAAAGCAGTGTAGTCGAAAGGGGCGGAATATGTGCTAAATAACCTTAACTTAAACATTACGCAAATAACAGATCAATTGAAATAAATGTCCACGAGCTGACACATAACTAAAGTTTTTTTACCAAAAACCCAGAATGCTAATTTGCAGCCTTTTCGGTGGGAAGATGCGTTGAAAATCACAACATATCGAAAATATGGCGGGAACTTTACACGGCAAACCGTGGACCTATAATGATCATTTTCTGTGGACATATACCAGCCTCTAAAACCACGAAATGCCAAATTAGAGTCATTTCGAAATAAAAATGTAGTCTCAAAATACTGAAAATTGGGTGTGAATTTCAGATGTGGGCTGTGTCAAAAAAATTGACCTCTAATAATCAGTTTCTAGACAGATTTATGCTAGTCTCATTTGGAAAATGAAATAAATATTGCGATTTCTATCGTGATTCCAACGAACGGAGCAGACATGGATAAATCGAAATACAATTATATTCTTATAAAGACCATATGTGTACATTATGCGGTCTTCGACGAATCATTGGATATGATGCAAATGGAATGGCAAGTCTAATATTCACTCTCTTTTTGAGGGTATACAAATAGTACAATACGTATCCCTAAACTATGACATATTACGAATTTTTACATTTATTGCCAGTGTGTTCTAAAACTTCAGAATTTCCTTAACCATTTCTGAAAAAAATCATAAAACTCGAGTTTATTACCTACCATTTAAATGAAAATGCCGATTTTTACAAAACCGATTTTGTGTGGTTTTTCATTTTTAGGTATTAGGCGCCCAGCACCGAACAGTAAGTATATTTCGGACCATCATTAAATTCAAATGCTGATAACTCAGCAAATACTTATCCGATTTTAATGATTTTTCCAGCAATGGTTAGAGGAAATTCTAAAGTTTTCATATACTGATATACATACATAAAATGATATTATATATGAGAAAATTCGTACTACGTAATACGTATGCACAGAAACAAAGTACTGTACACAATGTGGTAATAAATTGTAATAAATTAAAATTTGTTGGTTTTAGGCAATTTAGTGAATTTTTTCAGTACTTACTCTAGTAATTTTTTAACCGTTGATTTGCGCAGCATACAACATTGCAACACTGGCGCCAATATTGTCAAATCATCATGGAATGCTTTACCAAAACCTCGACCATGATCCAAATGTAAGGTGAAAGTGTCATTGCCGTATATTCTGAAAATAGATAAAAACAAAAAAATATTTATTGTATTTTTTTTTTAGTTTTAATTTCTAATGAAATGAATCTATATAAATAAACAAAATTTAAAAATTGTTACATAAATTCGTCAACATTTAATTGGAATTTTATGTAACAATTGGTGAAACAAAATATTTTCACATTCAATTTTGAGTTTTTGTATGATACAGATATTTGTAATAGTTATGCAATGGTTTATATAATATTTATTATCTTAAAAATATATTTAGATTAACCATGATATTTTATGAGGTCCCAGGAGGTATGTAACTCATTTTGCTCCGAGATTATTTGTTTAAGATGAAAATACTTTGTTTAACATGATTAGGCCCAATCGATGCCAGAAATTTTTTCATAAAATTTTAAATTTTTTTCGAAAAATAGCCGGGGTCAAATTTTTTCATGAAAGGGTTAAATTTATAAACATATAGCTATCATCAGATTTAACTTATTGGTTTTAAATTTATATTTATCTACCACTTAGGCCAGTAAAATTTTGACATTTGTTGACATAAAATGCAAGGACACACATTTATATATTCAATGCGGATTTAGAACTTCAACGAGTTTTATCGATTTTGTGGAGCATACGTGTTAAGCCTAAATACTTGAATTAGCAATTGGAAAATAGAAAATTTCAATATGCCATAGGCCAAAAAGTTAAGCCGATTGGATTTAAATATTGAAAGAGAGCGAAAGTAAACATAGGCCAAATGCAAAGCTGACGGACTGACTGACTGACAACAAATGCAATCGGCCGTTTCGTCTGTCATTATTTAACACCACTGATAACGGCGAGGCTCATTTCAAATTGATGAAATGTGTAAACGCTGTTGCGACAAACAATAATGTTGAAATTTTGCATTAGGATTTATTTAACAATTAACAGGAAAGCATTTCGTATTCAAAGGGAGGTTTTGAAATGTTGTTGATAGTTTGTTGTTGAATATTGAATTGAAGTATAAAGGTAAATGTATTCGTTGAAGAACTTTTAAATAATAAAAAAATAAAGAAGCAATAGCACAGTGATATTGCACAATTATTAAATTAAACCAGTAGGGAAAGTTTAAAAGTCGGACGGAGCCGACTATATGATACCCTTCACCACTTTGGATACATGCAAGAGATGCTAATATATACAATATCCTGTAGATAGAATCGACATCTAATCTTCAGAGGACCATTGAAATGGAATGGGGCGAAACTAAATGAGTGATTTACATAGATATGTGAACCAAGTAAAAAACTCAATGCACATACCATTCTGAAATCTATGAAAAATTTTATGTCAATCGGAATTTTTTGTGTACCATTTGTATGAAATCTAGGAAAATAATGTATGTGAAGCTATATGTAAATCTGGACCTAATTGAGCAACCGTTGCATATACCTTTGGTATTTCAAGAAAACTTCATAAATATCAAACAGGACCTAATTCAGAAGGCTGTGCAAAATTTAGCCCCAATCGGAAAAATATTGGGAGTTTGGTGCACAACTTACCTATAATCGGATAAACTGTATATGGGAGAAATATATCTGAAACTGAACCGATTTCAACAAAACTTCATGTACATCAAGCTGGACATTATTCAGTACCCTGTGCAAAATTTTGTCTCAATCAGACAAAAATTACGAGTTTGGTGCACAATTTACCTAAAGTCGGACAAAACTATATATGGGAGCTATATCTAAATCTGGACCGATTTTCACAAAACTTCGCATACATCAATCAGGACGAAACTATATATGGGAGCTAAATCTAAACCGATTTCCACAAAACAAACTGGAATTAATCTAGTACGCTGTGCAAAATTTTGTCTCAATCGGACAAACTTTGCGAGTTTCGTGCACAATTTGCCTAAATTCGGACGAAACTATATATGGGAGCTAAATCTAAATCTGAACCGATTTTCAATTTCAATAGGGTTCGTCCTTGGGCCAAACAAATGGGCTGTGCCAAATTTCATCCAAATCGGATCATAAATCCGACCTGTACTTTGCTCACAAAAATACATGGACGGACGGACGGACAAGCATAAATTGACTCAGAAAGTGATTCTATGCATATTCTCAAAAGGAACCATGGGTCTATTTCGATTCCTTTTGCCTGTTACAAACATATGCACAAAGACTTAATACCCTGTACCACAGAGTGGTGTAGGGTATAAACAATAAAGGAAGCAACAAGGTGAAAATTTTTCCAAAATGAAAAAAGGACACAAATTAAGGACTATAAGATGTGTAGATTTAAAAAAAATCACAGGTACTTAAAGAATCGTTGCTTTTAAAAAAATATATTTTTTATGCATGTAAAAAGTGCACACTTTTCATAGAAGGTTTTTCAAGAATTAACGTAATGGAAATTTTTAAAGAAAATTTGTTAAAGGACTATAAGAAAGGCTTGCATTATTCATATGATATTAGTTCAAGGCCTATGACAAGACGTGGATTTTTTAAAGAATATTTCTTCAAATATATTTTTAATTTTTTTTTAAATATTTTTAGGGTGTGCGCTTTTAAATAATATATTTATAAAGACCATAACAAGGCTTGGATTTAACAAGGGGTGGATTTCTTATTGAATATTTTTTCACAGACTATACAAGGTTTTGATTTTTTTAAAGACTATAAAAAGCAAGGATTTATTAAAGAATATTTTAAGCTAGGATTAAAATTTTTATGATAGAATTTTCATAAAATACATTTTTTTGGACTATAGCAAAGCAAGGATGTTTATAAGAATATTTGTTTAAGGACATTAAGAAACGCAAATGTTTAGTGCTATTTTTTTATCAAGGACTATAAAAGAAGCGTGTTTTTGGAAAAACTATTTTTGAAGGACTAAAAGTCTCGTAGATTTTTTAGATACTATTTTTCGAAAGACTTACAAAATGAGGTTTTTTTTTAAGAATATTTTTAAGGACTATAACAAGTCGTTGATTTATATATGTTTAAAGACTATAACAAGGCAGGACTATAATATAAAGGAATATAACAAAGCGTGGCATATTCGAAGAATATTTTTTAAGGACTATAATAAGGCGTGGAATTTTCAAAGAATATTTTTTAAGGACTAGTATAGCGTTGGTTTTTACAGAATATTTTTCAAGGACTCTTTTTAAGGAATTGTTTTCAATGTATCTAATACGGCCTGTATTATTAAACGAATATTTTTCAAGGACTATAAGAAGCGTGGACTGTAAAAAGGGCATATTTTTTAAAGAATATTTTTCAAGGACTCTGTACATTTTAAAAAATATTTTTTCAAGGACCCTAATATGGCCTGTATTTTTAAAGAATATTTGTTAAAGGACTATCAAGGCTTCAGTTTTTAAAGAATATTTTATCAAGGATTATAAGAAGCATTGCTATTTCAAAGAATATTTTTTTTTCAAGGACTATAAAAGTATATGTTATTTCTAAACTATATAAAGGTAACTCTATTTTAACTATACGCATATTTGAAACTTCATTGACTGTAAGCACAATTTTAAATTTCAAAAACTAAAAACATTGAAGTATAATATTTTGAATAAAAAATCTTTATTCTCACTGCATATAACTTTATATTTTTACATACCACCAAAACGTTTTTTTAATACTATACACCTTGATAGGTCCAACTCTTTAAAGGAAAAAACACTTTAAAACCCACTGACTTTTTATAATGGATAGCTGATATTCGATTAAATATTCATTTCATTTTGATACGTTACACAAATGGCTAACTTTAGTGTTCCAAAGCCAAGTGTCGTCGTTTTATTTTTCCTGAATACCATTTCAATAGCAAATGTCTTCCAGTCATGGCATTTGCATTGCACAGACTAAAAAAATACATTCAAAAATATATACATTCAAACGCACACATACACACACTGATAAGGAAGCCACAGCAACACTGTTTATGTAAAAGTTTGTCCCTATACAGTTGTTGTTATGCAGCAGCACCACCACCAATAACGACGGAGACAGCCCAAAGTGTCCTTTGACACCTAAATGCATGGTGTATCTAATTGCCACTTAAAGGCACTTTAAATGCATGCATCGAAATATAAACGTACACAAACACAGACGTCCGCACACACACAGTCATATAAATATCCACCTGCAAACAATTACCAGCAGCATATGTGCAGATAGTTTGGTATGCTGTATAAATTGAGTTTGCGGCTGGTTGAGACGAGTAAAGTAAAGTATGCAAAATATATATGTACATATTGGGCAAATCTGTACACATATACATATGGGATGACTGTATGCATGTGTATGTATATGTATTTTATTTCTGTAAACATTCAAAATCAATTTAGCATAACAAAACCCATTTGATATAAAATGATGTTGAATTTAATGCATCGCGATCAGAACGGTAAACGTTGAAGGACTGAAATGTCCTTAAAAATACCAACTGAGGACATAAATGTGCAATGTGTGTGTGAGTGTGGAAGGGAAGGAAGGAAAGAGTATTTATTGTAATATATAAATTTTGCATACACAAGGTTATCGGTTCATTGAAGTGTCAGTAACTTGTATCTGGTTTACAGAACAACTTTTTGTCAAGGAATATACAGAGTGAAGGACTTTTAATATGTGGATTTGCTAAAGGATAATTTTTTCAAGGTCCAACAAATCTCGAAATTGTGAAGAATATTTTCGTTAAGTCTAAAACAAGTGTCGATTTTATAACGCACCAGTATATTTTTTTCAAGGACTATAAGGCGTGAATTTTTTAAGGAAAACATTTTCAAGGATAATAAGGCGTGGATTTCTAAAGAAAAAATCAAGGATTTTAAGGCGTGGATTTGTAAAGAATAAAATCAAGGATTATAAGGCGTGGTTTTCTAAAGAAAAAAAATTAAGGATTATAAGGCGGGGATTTCTAAAGAAAAAAAAATTAAGGACTATAAGGCGTGGATTTCTAAAGAAAAAAATAAGGACTATGAGGCGTGGATTTCTAAAGAAAAAAATCAAGGAT